CTGAAAAAGGGGTGAAGAGGCTGCATGCACAGGCAAAAGGCTTGTTCATAACTCTCTTTATTAAGCCAAGCTATGTTTGTCTGAACAAGGCCACTATCTGCTATGCATGCACAAACAGCAGGGGCGAGATTCTCAGTAGTGGAAGCCCTGTGCAATGACTTGACTTGCACAATGGGGTCCCCCCCCCTCCTTAGTCCCCCGTGCCCCCTGTGAAATTGGCTTGGGGAATTCAGGAAAACCCCTGGAACAATGCATGCCGGGAAGAGTGAGGGGATCATCGCTTCTGGCAAACTGAAATGCTTCCCCTGACAGAACGTTCACCTTAGCACGATGTTGTATTCCTTCCCAGGTTTCTCAGATATCTGCCCCTTATCCTTCCTGCCATGCTGTGAACTTTAAACTCTCAAAGTAGTGTCTAAGAAGTGTTTACATTTATAGCATTGCATCTCTGTGTTAGAAGATTTGCTTTTCCTTCCAACTTCAGTGTTAAGTGTCACTTCACTTACTGCTCATCTCCTGGATTGCAAGAGTGCCTCAGGTGGCACGGGCAACAGGAGTTTATGGCACACTTTGAGAGGAGCAGGAGGGCTTTGATTCTTGGCTCTGATACCTTCAAGCCTGAACCACCAGCCCGTTTGCTGACATGCCAGCAGACTAGAGGCAAAACTGCCCCCAAGGCTCTGGTTGCTGCTTGAGTACTGTAGTGACTGCTTAAATTATACTTGTAGTTGTCTAAATTAGTGACCCATGTCCCAAAAACTGCTAGTCCCTGTGATTTGTAATCTATTCTAAAAAGTGCTGCTTTTAGATGTTTTCCTGGTATGCAACATGGTGACAATCCTAATAGATTTGGGTCCCCAGAAATACAGAATGTAAGTACAGTGGACGCTTGGGTTGCGAACGTGATCTGTGCGGGATGCACGTTTGCATCCCGCAGCGGTGCGTCTGCACACGCACGGGTTGCAATTCAGCGCATGCGCAAAGCACGATTTAGCGCTTCTGCACATGCGCGACCGCTGAAACCCGGAAGTAACCCGTTCTGGTACTTCCGGGTTTCAGCGGTCCGGATCCCAAAAAAAAAGCAACCTGAAGCGTCTGTAACCCAAGGTATGACTGTACTCTAGAATCTACCTTGGCCTCTTCATGACCTTTAAAACACCATTTAGATTGCTGTCTTTAACTCCTGGAGCTAAAAATTATTTTAAAGGCTTAGGTCTGCATAATTTATAGATTGCCATTTTCCATACATCCTACTTTGATGTATTGCTTATGCTTTTATAGCTTCTGAATCCTAATAATTTAAGAGAACCCAAAAGATCTCCTGCAGGTGAAAGCAGTTGTGCTCTGATAACGCTTACGTTTGAGCCAAATTTCCTTCCCTCTTAATGCTTTCAACAAAGAAATTAGACAACTCAACCTTCTGCTGGCAAAAAAAAATATTTTAGTGGGTGGTAGGAAGAATGCAAGTCTACATTGTCAAAGGCCATCTTTCCTGGATTCCTTTGGCTCAGGCCTTCTTCACCATGAAGAGGTGTTCACAGGACATTTACCTTCTGTGTGCTTTGGGAGATGAGATTTGATTAGGGTTTTTGTTGTTCACCAGTGCTAACAATGGGGCATGGCTACTTCTGTTTATTCTCAAACCTTCCACAGAGCTTTCATGATTATGATTTCAATATCTTCCAGATCCACCAGCGTTATTGCTACCATTTCATCCTAGGATACTAGTTGTATTTAAGAGGCTTGTAGGACTGGCCGGGGGGGAGCCACCTCTTAACAGTTTAGTGGAGATGAGAGCTACTGCAAATGTGCTTTAAACATGAACAAGGCATCTCTTTGCTGCTGAAATATTTTCTTGTGTATGCTCACAGTCTCTTTTCCCCCATTCTCTTCTTTTCTGTATAGGTTATTAACTGCTGACAAGAAATTCACATCTCATAAATAATGCTTAAGAGCTATTGCTATATAAATTGAATGTGTTATGAATTGTGATGGGGCTTTTTGTAGTGTGCTGTGCCTAGAGCAGTAAGAACAGAGGATGTCATTTTCATTAATTTCTAATGAGGTGCCAATTAAAGGCAAGGAAGGCGCTCAGAAGGGAAGAGTCATAGAGCTCCCCTGAATCCTCTATCCTGGGGCTGTCATAGGAACATGCCACCAAGCCTTCCCTGAAAATTCCATTAAATTACAATCTCATCTAGTGCACACATAGACAAATTCAGCTTTCCTTTGATCTTCAAAAGAGCAATTTGTAAGATGAGTTCTGAGCTTTCTCACACAGCGAACTGGGAGAGGTGAGAGGAATTGCTAATTGCTAATGCACTTTGCAGGCTTTGGTGAGGAACAGAAATGTGAAAGCAGATTTTCATTCTGCGTCTCTCTGACTGGCTAACCTTTAAATCAACAATACTGGAGCAATGCCACTTTCCTACAAGACATTTCTACATGGCAGTTACGCCAGCCAAATGTTCAGATAGTGATAATTTCAAAGCGTTGAGTGGAGTGTTTGGGGGCTTGGCTTCGCATGGTGGATACTCGTTTCATAAATGCACTATTAGTATCAAGTTTCAGTGGGCAAAAGTTCAACTACTAACATAAAAAACATATTCCACAATTTTAAAAAGAACCCTGCTAAATCTGAGCTGCTCCAAAGACCCTCTTAAGTAACAATATTAGTTCTAGCTGGCCACATTGACAAGTCACACAGAACTATGGCTTAGCTTGATGTGCATATGGGCCAAAGCAAGCCTTGGGCTCCCTCTGTCTTCCTTCTCCCCCAGTTGGCCATGCAAGAGGAGAAGAATGAGGAGTTAATAACTTTTTTATTTCCATGAATCATAGTTTGTAATGTTGGCATGACAAACTGTGGTTAATGGTAACTGTAACTGTGGTTAATTTCAAAGAAGTCAACCATGCTTTCTGATGCTTTCTTTTTGAAATTAACCATAGTTTCTGGTTTGGATGACCCAGACACCATGATTAACTAAAAACAGAAATGAAAGCTTCCAAACTCTTCTGCTCTCAACTGTGTGGGAGGAAGGGGAGATGCAGGTCACATTAAACCCAGGATTTTAGCATGATATGTGAATGCAGCTGTTGGCTACCTGATTTGAATTCAAGATTATAAATGTTCATATTAGCTGTTGCAGTTGCCATAGTGTTGCGCTTGAAAGGGAGATTTTAGGTTGCTTGAGTTTCAGGCTTGAGACAGATTTCCAATCTTGAAATCAAATTTCATGAGCAAAAGTGCTCTTCACCTCTTAAAACAGATTCAAGGCCATTTTCTTTCCTGAATCCAAAAAGTGATTCACTGATTATGGATTTTACTGGAAATTTTTTAATCAGCCGATTTTAGTGGAAAAGCTAACTTTACCAGTTTAGTTTAGTTTAGACTTAGATTTTTAGGACGTGTGAACATTGAGCTGATTATCATTGAGCTAATCCTACTAAATCAGAGACACTAAAGACACTAAAACTCACAATTTGAAAATTTTAAAGGTTATGAAGGATTGGATTTACAGTGACTTCCTAGAGTGGCATGAAATTGCCAAAAACTCTTAAGCTGAGCTGCTTTCTGCAGTAGTAAAGTCTTTACAAGGCTTACAAGAATTGCTTAGGGGATTGGTAATGGGATGTGAAGCATTTCACCTCTGTCACCATGTCAAATCCAGCACTGGTCAGGAATGACAGGGAAAATTACCACCATCTGCTGGCTCTTTAGCAATCCCTGTACGAAGCGTATGCAGCTTTCAGTCCGGTTCATAGTGGTCATACATGGCCATATCAGAAGAACGACATTCCAGCTTGAGTTAATTGGCTATCAGTGTCCAGAAACCACGCAAATTATGAAAACTAAGTATTTTTGGTACTGAGTATGTGTTGTAAAAATGCCCTAATGTTCTTTATTGAGCTATTTCAAGTAACTGCTAATGGGCAAAGCATATTAAGATGTTAACAAATGCATGACAGTTTGATAAGTTAATACATTTGGCAATATCAATATGTGAAACAACAATTGTACCTTTTAATTTCTAATGATGACCTATTGTTTAAAGTGTGTATGGAATCCTTAAACATGTTGTGCTTTGCATTAAAGGCTTTCACAGCATATATCCAAAGAATCGTTTAGTTTTTATCTGCATAGCCCTGAAAGATATAATCCCTAACCTCCCATAATATTGCAGAATGCCATATAAGCATCATTGCTCAAGGGAATGCTGTTTCAATTAAGCAGATTTAGAAGTGTGCTTACTTTCATTGGAAAGGTGGCACACCCTTAAGATACAAGATACTCAGGCTGCCCAACTTAAAACCATAGGGATTTCCTTCTCATTAGAAACAGATACATGTGCATTCAGACGGAGACCAGATGGTATAGATAAGCTTGGTTGGGTTTATTCAGAGGACATTATGTTGAAGAATAAAGATAAATACCCTTTTCAATTTTATTTTTAAGAAGTAACAAATAAAAATAAAACAGTTGTGTGGCATTACACATAATGATATAGCTTAGTTCAATAAAACACACAACACCAACAGAGTTAAAAAATGCTCCACCACTTTCCCAAACAATATTAGGTTGCAGGCAGGAAATTGATTAAACTCTGTCCATACAGTTTCTTCTGCTGTGGCATTCATTTCTTAGTCAGCTCATGATGCACAGAAAAAGTTGACCTGAACAGGTGGTGAATCACCTGAGTCTGTACCTTTCCATGTTTCAGCCTTGCCTTCTAGAGAAGCCTGGCTTGCACTTTGAGAGATGTTGGAGTAATATACTGTGAACTACTAGCCATGATTGTTGGGAACTATTAAAAAGCACATTTTCAGTGAGAAACAGTATGGTTTTGGGACAGAGATCTGGCAGGTCTGGGCCATCAACTTAGTATAAACCAGCCTTCCCCAAATTGGTGCCCTCCAGATCTTCTGACCACCAGCCATTGTGGCCCAGCACATCTGGAGGGCACCAGGTTGGGGAAGCTGATACAAACCTAAATAGCCGGGATAGCTTTGTTGGTTAGAGCATAGTGCTGATAACACCAAGGTTGCAGGTTCGATACCTGTATGGGAAAGCTGCATACTCCTGCATTGCAGGGGTTTGGACTAGATGATCCTCAGGATCTCTTCCAACTCTATTATTCTAGTCATTCTCAGATTTGGTTCCCATCTGCCTAAATGAAAAAAGGATTCTCTTGGGGAAAGTACAAGGTTGTAAGCACCTTTCCTAATTAGAAGGGCTGTATAAATGAAAAAGGAGATTTCTCAAGGTTTGAAAACATTTCCTGATCAGCAAAAATATAACATCAGAAACAGACTGTATTTTTCCGTATATTAGACAAAATCGGTCAAAAAAATTGGGTCGTCCAGTGCACAGATAGTGGCATGGGGGGGGGGGAAGCGGCGCGCCCGCCAGCCAGCCAGTTGGTAGGAGCACAACTTCCTCCGATGCTGCAACGAGCGGGAAATGATCTAGGGAGTATTTTCTGCCTGCAGCTGCATGGGGAGAGAAGCTCAACAACTTTGGGCCATCTCTCATTTTCTTAAAATTGAGTCCCCAAAGATGGGGGGGGGTCTTATACATGGGGGCATCTTATAGATGGAAAAATACGGTACATAATATCTTCTGGGGATTAAAAGTCCTTTTAGTACATAATATTCCTGAGGTAAATTGTCTTTGGCCAGAGTATGTCGTTCAGAGCCTAGAATGCAGATGACAATTTTTGCATTGGCATGGGGAAAATGCTTTTAGGAGAGAATGTGCTTAGAGCAGGCTGTTACTAAAAAACAAATAAATAATGAAGAGGAAATGGCTAGGTGAATTGAAAGGTTTCCCCTTCATAATCAGCAGGTCTTTGTAGGACTTCAAAGTTAGTAATTAGAGTTTGAGATTGAAATGTGCATGTGTGTGTGCGCGCGCACACACCTCATAAAATCCACACTGGACTTCTAGCAAAGCCTGAGGCACAGCTTCACTTGTGGCCTCCTGTCAAGATTTTAACATTGCAAACTTGCATGAGGTTTTGTCTCTGTTTTTTCAACCATCATGGTTCCTGGATTAGAGCAAAAATAATAAAGTACACATACACATACCCACATACACACAGACACACACGTGTGTGTATACTTTATTATTCATGAAAACTTCATGCAAAACTTTGTGTGGGTGGGTGTGTTATAAAGTAAAGGACCCCTGTACAGTTAAGTCCAGTCAAAGGCGACTATGGGGTGCGGCACTCATCTTGTTTTCAGGCCAAGGGAGCCAGTGTTTGTCCACAGACATCTTTTCAGGGCATGTGGCCAGCATGACTGAACCACTTCTGGTGCAATGGAACACGATGATGAGTGCCAGAGTGCATGGAAATGCCGTTTACCTCCCCGCCATCGTGGTACCTATTTATCTACTTTCACTGGCATGCTTTCAAACTACTAGGTTGGCAGGAGCTGGGACAGAGCAACGGGAGCTCACTCTGTTGTGGGGATTCGAACCGCTGACTTTCTGATCAGCAAGGCCAAGAGCCTCAGTGGTTTAGACCACAGCTCCACCTGCATCATATACCCAGCATGTTAGAACTGTTTCTGTGAAATTATATATATTAATATTCTTCTTTGTTTAAAAGAGCTGAAACTATTGTCCAGACTTCAATATAAAGACTCATATGATTTGAGGGTGGTGGTTGTATGTGAACTGTTGTCGGCGTTGTAGTACTTATGTCATGGGAAAGCACTTACAGCTGAACTAGTCTAACCATATGTTAGAAGAGAGCAATGTGCAGATACAAACTCTCAGTTGCTGGGCCTGGACAATAGATTGAATGAGGAGGGCAAGCTTCATTTGAATTAGATGACCTGTAGATCTGAAATTTGTTGTGCACGTATCTACTATATCTGCGCACACACAAACCACACCCATGTGCGTGTATGTATATAGTCCAAGGCACATGAATATTCTCTGCTTCGTGAATGAGGGATTACTATACTTCAAATTATTAAATTAGATCCTAACATAAGGGTTTGAATTTGGAACACATAGACCAAAGCTCTCTTTTTACGGGAAAAGATTTGATGATGGTGGAGGAACAAATTGGGCACATTTGCTTGCTAATGTATCAGCCACTTTGACACAGGTGATGGCTCAAATAGTTTCCATTGCAGCAGATGTTGGTAACTATTTTTGTCAAGAACATAGCAAAGCTTAATTGCAAATACACTGAAATGTTTAAAACATGAATCTGTAAAGCCTGTTACCACTCCTGAGGTTAAAATACATGGACCTATGTAAATGCCTCTGGAGCTTCTGTAATAGACAAAGTGTCTCAGCCTGGAAACTCGGCATTATTTATTCTTGTTCCTTATTAATGTCTTATCTGCCTTGCATTTTCATTGGGCTGAAGCAAAAAACAGATGATACACATATATTATCAGGCTGCCTAGTACTGCTTACTTGTTTTAATTAAATTTTTGGATACACTTTGGCTTTTTAATTAAATCCTCAGTGTTGGGGAGGCATGTTAGTGTAGATAAATGCTCCATGCAGAGACTTCTAGAGGTATAAATACTACTCCAGGAAAATGTTCTATGTCCACAGATTGTAAGAGATGAGTCCAGAACTGAGGCTCAGTGAGGTTGCTCAGGGTAAGCTCTGGTAGTGTAGTTGTGTAACAAAATTCACAGCGATTTTGAATTGAGATAGGGGGCAAGGGCCTTTCACAAAACTTTTCATCACTGTAAAAAAGAATGACCAATTTTCAGTCATTTTGATGGGGTTGCTAGGAGAGAGGTGCAAAAGTGTTTGAGTCACCCCTGATTGAAGTAGATGAGGATAGGAAACATTTCCCTTACTCTAAATGAGCTTCATTTGCCCTTAGTGACATTGCCATGGAGCCAAATCTGATTGACCGTGTAGTGCAATGATTTCATTGCATCCAGAACGTGACCCCTGATTGGCCAGGGTAACTTGAGGAAGCATAACAGAGAGAACACAGTTGACTTAAATAAGCATCAGTGGCTGTGAATAACTGCAGGGAAATATGGTTATGGTGTCTCTGAACTCTCAAAAGAGAAGCAGGGAACATCCAGTCCAGGCCTAAATCTACTCTGAGATACAGGTATGCTGAGCTGCTTCCAGAATTATTATTATAAGGTCTGCCTTGTAAGTAGAAGCTGATTGTCATTTCACAATTATTGGTGTCGTTGTTTTTGTGGAAAGTTGCAGTATGCTCCCCCCCCCCCCTTATCCATATCCCAGTATAGCCAGAAGAGGGCATGTATTTGAACTCTTTGATATATCCTAGTTCAGGTATTGTTCATACTGTATTGTTTTGGTTATCAGTTGTATATCTTTATTCCTCCTGTCTCATATGTGTTGTTTTATATTGCTGCTCAATTTTTATTGCATTTATTTATTTCATAAAATGTATACACCGCTTGATTGTAAAAAAACAACAACCTCAAAGTGGTTTGCAAAGAAATATAACAATAAAATCAAGAGAAATTGGACCCAGAAATTGCTCTATGATGAAGGGTCTAAAAATATTTCAGACCAATGAAATACGGCTCAGTTCCACAAGGATTAAACCATGTAAGAAAGGCACCATAGGCAAATTAGTTTCTTTATTGAATTTATCAAGTATGTACTGAGATTGAGGTGATGTTCTGGGTTTTGTCACACAATTAGAGTAGCGCCTCATAGTTCTAATGAAATTAAGCATCTCAGGCTTTGCTGGCCAGTTCTGTTTTGGAATACCAAGCCTTTTGGTGGTGATCATTTCTAATTGTTCAATTCCTGGTAGCAGATTTCTTTTTTCTAAGTTAAGCATTCATTCTTCATTCACACTATTCACAGTTGATTCATATTTTATCGAGGGCATTGAAAACAGATAAACTTTGAGAAAACTAAAGGCAGTTTATAAAGAAAAGATATAGAACTTATACTTAGAAGTTTGACTGGCTGCATTAAAGTCCTCTTATAAAGAGGAAGAACATAAGGAGTAGATTGCACTACTTGACATAATGAAGAAAGTACATGAGCACATACATCATAAAATGCTTAGCGAAAGCTAGCAACTAGGGCTTAATGGGGGAGTACATGCTTTGCAATGGAAAAAGATCCCAGGTTCAATTCCTAGAATTACCAGGTACAGCTAAGGGGAATGATGATGGACTCCAGTAACATCTGGGTGACTGCAGGTCACCTGCCCCTACTCTATATTCTGATCCAAAGGTCAGCATTTCATGTCATGTTGAAAGGCTTCAATAAGTTTTGTGCTTATATTTTGTATTTCTCTCTCACACACACATACTTCTTATGTGAAAGGAACCTCCAGTTTTCCATGGTGTCCTTGCACCACTGAAAGCTCTTATTCTTTTAGAATGATGCTTTGCAAAATGGCTGCCTTTATAAGAAAATAGCTAGTCATACGGAAAATTCTTCACTGTTGTTGTCCTGCAGTACTTCTGCTCATACATCTGGGATGGGGGGAAACACATGCCCTTTTTCTTATCTAGAAGTGAATTGTAAGCAGTGGGTAAGCTTTCCAGAGCTTTGAGGCAGGAGCACCTACTTTGCATTGTAGATATCACATGCTTGCTGGGTGACTCCATTAAGAGATATGTTGTCTGCAGCATACAAGCACTATGGATCTAAAGCATGGGTAGGCAAACTAAGGCCCGGGGGCCGGATCCGGCCCAATCGCCTTCTAAATCCGGCCCATGGACGGTCCAGGAATCGGCGTGTTTTTACATGAGAAGAATGTGTCCTTTTATTTAAAATGCATCTGTGGGTTATTTGTGGGGCCTGCCTGGTGTTTTTACATGAGTAGATTGTGTGCTTTTATTTAAAATGCATCTCTGGGTTATTTGTGGGGCATAGGAATTCATTCATTTCCCCCCCACCCCAAAATATAGTCTGCCCCCCCACAAGGTCTGAGGGACAGTGGATTGGTCCCCTGCTGAAAAAGCTTGCTGACCTCTGATCTAAAGCATTAGCAGGTAGACCAAGGGAAATATCCCAGGCATTTCTTTCAGTATAATTTTCCTGTTATGCCTGCAGTTCATTTATGATTTCCTTGGTAGCTCC